CTGTGCTTCCTGGACCCATATGTCTATTTCCTTCACCAAATTAGGGAAGTTTTATTTCATTATTTTTTTAAAGTTTTCAATTTCCTGCTCTTCCTCTTCTCCTTCTGGCATCCCTATGATTCAGTCGTTGATATGTTTGAAAATGTCCCAGAGGCTCCTTAGCCTATCTTTGTTTTTTTTTAATCGTTTTTTTTCTTGTTGATCTGATGGGTTGTTTTTTTGCTTCCTTATGTCCCCGATTGTTGATTTGGTTCTCAGCTGCACCCACTCTACTGTTGTTTCCCTGTAAATTGTTCTTTATTTTAATTAGTGTATCCTTCATTTCTGGTTGGATCTTTTTTATTCTGTTAAGGTCCTCACTAAGTTCCTTGAACATCCTGATAACCAGCATTTTTTAACTCTACAACTGATAGATTGCTTATCTCTATCTCATTTAGACCTTTGTTTGTTGTTTCTGTGTATTAGGTAGAGCTGCTTTGACTCCTTGTCTTAGTAGCTTGGCCTATTGTAGAAAAGCACACATGTAAGCTGTATGGGATAGAGCCTTAGGTAATAGCCAGGGCAGGGCAACTGGTGTCACTACTCTATAGTTCTGTGTGGGGGAGGGACAATCCACTGCCTGGCATCTGGCGTTTTGCCTTGGAGGAAGCTGTCTCCTAGCACTCACCCTGATGCCAATCACTTTAATTTCTTCTGTATGCCACTGGTGCTCTTTCAGCTGTTGCCCTAGTGCTGAATGCCAGAGGGAGTGGGTCTGCATAAGTCCTAAATATGTTGTGGGCCCTTCAAGTGGGGTCTCCAGAGATGTCCCTTCCTTCCACCCCAACCCCCACTGGTTTTTACAGCCAGAAGTTGTGGGGACTTATCTTCCTGGTGCTGGAACCCTGGGCTGGGTGGTCTGGTCTGGGATTGGGATCTCTCAAACCAGAGGTACCCCTCCTGATTTTTACCCACCTGTTCTGCATCTCCATGCCTTTCCACCCCACTGCACCTCTTCTGGCCTCTCCAAATGGCTTTGCATCGGTGCCCTTCTTACCCATCTGGATGAATGTGGCTTCTTTAAATCCTTGGTTGTCAGACTTCTGTATAATTCGATTTTCTGATGATCCTGAATGATATTTGTTTTGTAGTTTAGTTGTAATTATTTTCTGTAATTGTGTGGGGAGGCGATGTATTTACCCACACCTCCATCTTGACTGAAAGTGATCCTACACATTTTTGCTACTTTTATAACTGTGTATTACATTTCCTTTGTGCTATTAAACATGTAAATTTCAAATTCCAATTCTATGACTTGTACATAGAAATATTATTCACTTTTGTATATTTATTTTGTATTGTGTAGTCTTGACAGACTCATCTAGTTCTAGAAAGTTTTTTATAGATTTCTTGGGATTTTTTTATGAAGACGATCATGACATTGGTGAATAGGGAGAGAGTTATGTTTCTTCTTTAGCCTTTTATTTTTTCTTGTCTTATTGCACTTGTTATAATTTCCAGTTCTATGCTAAATCAAAGTGACAAGAACAGACATACTTACCTTATTCCCAATCTCAGGGACTAGGTAGGTATCTTCAGGTTGTCTCTCTTGGAGGGAGTAACGGGTGTATCCTCTATGCATTTTAAAGTCAGTATTCTTTAAAAGCACACCACCATACACCCCACAGGTGATTCCAATATCCAGAGAGATTTGGAGACTGCCAGACTATAAGATCTCTTTGCTCCCTGATGGTAAAGTCTTAAATTCTGTGAGACAAGATCTTTTATTCAACAAATATTTACTCAGTGTTCTCTATGTACCAGGCACAGTTTTAGGTCCTCTATACACGGTAACTTAAAGTTACCCTCATTAATCTTAAGGTCTAATGGACAAGACTCACATATAAGCCTGTGTTACAATGCAGGGTAAATGCCTAATGGAGGTATGTACTATATTTTTCAGACCATAAGACACACCTGGGATTTAGAGGAGAAAAATAGGGAAAAAATTTTTGAAGCAAAAAATGTGGTAAAATATTTAGTAACATAATATTTCACCAATGTAAATGTAAACAGAACTCAACAGCAGCATTAACAACCATTATTCCTCCCAAATTTAGGGTGGGTAAAGGTGCATCTTATAGTTTGAAAAATATGCTACTTTTACTTTCTCTTAATTCCCTAGATCCTCGAAGAAGCAATAAACATTTGCCTACTGAATTCTAACTACAGACACTATACCTCAGATCCCCAGAGCCACCTAAGGCCAATAATTTCTGCATTTTGCCCAGGAGAGGAGTCTTTTTTTTCTGTTTATTTCTCCCATTCCAGCCCACTCCTCCCCCATGCACCCCGAGAGGAGTCTTTCCATTGGTTATAGAGCCTCAGAACTTGTGGACTCCCTTTGAGATAATTTGAGCCTGTCATCTTATTAGGACCTTTTAATTTCTCCTCAAATCTGTTTTTCCCTGTTCACCTTAAAGCTTATAAAAGGGTCTTATTTCTTTTAAATGTCTCCTCTTTCATTTTCAGTCAGCAATGATCACATTTCACACCCTATATCTAGATCACGTTGTTTCCTCCGACATGTGTATCTAACAATACATCTTCATTTAATTATAGCTCATGCCCACTAGCTAAGGATAAACTGACATGCCGCACGAAAAGCACAACCTCAGTGGGATAGGGGGAGATTTCTACTGAAATGGATTATCCACTTGCTGCCAACACATTACTACTTCATCTCTTAAGTATGTACACGAAGAAGTAGACAAAACACTTTTTGACAGTGGCAGCTGAATGATGTTATTTTCTAAATGTTCTTATTAATAATGATTTTATAGTGGATCTACTTATGTACTGATACGACAAGGATTTGGAGAAAGTAGCCCAGGAGTTCCAGCCAAGATGGAGACATAGGTAGAAATGCTTCACTTCCTCACACCACCAAAAGAATGACAACAATAAATTAAAAAACAAAAACCAACCAAAACTGCCAGATATTCAAACTTCATGGAAGTCCAACAACCAAGGAGTTAAAGAAACATTCACCTAGACTGGTAGGAGGGGAGGAAATGGGCAGCCAAGGCGGAGAGGACGCACAGCCAAGGAGGTGGCTGGTGGGCCAATAAGTGGGGAAGAACCATTGGGAAGTGAGACAGACTGCAGAACCAGGGTCTTACTCAAAACCTCTGGATGTAAAAATCTGCGGGAGTTGTGGCAGTGGGAGAAACTCTCAGGATCAAAGTAGAGTCCATGGGAGAGGCCCACAGGGTCCTAGACCATACACAAACCCACCCATCTGCAAATCAGCATCTGAAAGGCCACGGTCTGCTTGCAGGAATTGAGAGAAGTGACAGAAATTAGGTCTAGAGCAGAGCCAGCAAGAAACATTGTTCCCTCTCTGACCCCTAGCCCACAGACAGTACCACAACACAGCAAAGAGAGTTGCCCTGCCCTGGTGAACACCTAAAGCTCTGCCCCTTACAAAACAACAGGTCTGCTGAGACAAGAATATATGGTCCAAATGAAAGAAACTCCAGAATAAGAACCAAATGAAAGAAACTCCAGAATAAGAACTAAGTGATGAAGAGATAGCTAACCTATCTGATGCAGAGTTCAAAACACTGGTAATCAGGATGCTCACAGAAATGGTTGAGCTTGGTTGAAAAATGATGGAAGAAATGAAGGCTACCCAAAGTGAAAGAAAGGAAACTATACAGGAAACCAAAAGTGAAGGGAAGGAAACAGGGGTTCAATCCAAGGATTTGAAACAAAATGAAGAAATAAATATCCAACCAGAATAGAATGAAGAAACAAGGATTAAAAAAAAAAATGAGGAGAGGCTGAGAAAGCTGTGGGACAACTTTAAACACTCCGACATCTAAATCACAGCAGTGCCACAAGGAGAAGGGGAAGAGCAAGAAACTGAAAACTTATCTGAACAAATAATGAAGGAAAACTTCCCCAATCTGGCAAAGGAAATAGACTTCCAAGAAGTCCAAGAAACCCAGAGAGTCCCAAAGAAATTGGATCCAAGCAGTAACACACCAAGACACACCATAATTAAGTTACCCAGGATTAATGATACAGACAGAATATTAAAAGCAGCAAGAGAAAAGGAGACAGTTACCTACAAAGGAGTGCCCATAATACTAACAGCTGATTTCTCAAAAGACACCTTCCAGGCAAGAAGGGACTGGAAAGAAATATTTGAAGTCATGAAAGGCAAGAACCTACATCCAAGATTACTCTATCCAGCAAAGCTTTCATTTAGAATGGAAGGGCAGATAAAGTGCTTCCCAGATAAGGCCAAGTTAAAGGAGTTCATCATCACCAAGCCCTTATTCTATGAAATGTTAAAGGGACTTATCTAACAAATACAAGATGATCAAAAATATGAATAATAAAATGACAACAAACTCACAACTATCAACTGAGCCTAAAAAACAAAAACTAAGCAAACAACTAGAATAGGAACAGAATCACAGAAATGGAGACCACATGGAGGATTATCAGTGGGGAGGGGGAGGAGGAGAATGGGGAAAAAGAAAAAAAATAATTTCTAAAATCAATAATTGTCATCAATTAATACATTTAACAATAACAACTTTGTTTAATCTGTAAGGTTTCACAGAAGACAAATGGCAAAGCATCCCAAAGTTTGAAGAGCATATTATGGGAGAAAATTATGTCATTGAGAAAACTTTGTCCATGAACATTTGTTTTTCTTATAATTAGGAAAAGGCTCATTTTTCACTCTTAGTAGCAATACACTTCAACCCAGGCAGTTATTGGGAAACCTCTTGTGTGTCAGGCATGAGGAGGTTACAAAGATGTGTAAGCTGCTTCCCCTACTCAGGAAACTGTTTAATAGAGGAAAGAAGCACATAAACAAACGGTGGCATTGCAATGCAGGGTGTGCCTTGGTCAGAGAAGAGCAGGCTTCTGGGGACGTTGAGGAGGGTCTTCAATCCAGACCGAAGGTGAGCAGCAGCGCCAGGGGAGAGGGAGGTGTTTAGTTCTGGCGTTGCGGGAGATGGAAAGCAGGAATGTTGAAGTTCTGAGCGTGACAGGACGGATGCCGGGATCTTACAAAGCTTAGAAGGAAGGAAGGAAACAGAGAAAGAAAGGAAATATTTTTAGGTTTTATGATTTAAATAAGGTTACCTTTACGGTAAGAGAATTTGAAACTTAACTGAGTTTTCTTTCTACATACACAATGACTGCATTTCATTACATAATACTTCTGTATAAAACCCATAGAATGTACAACACCAAGAGTGAACTTCAAGGTAAAGCGAGGACTTGGAGTGATTCTGATGCATCAGTGTAGGTTCATCCTTGGTTAAAAACCGATCACTCTGGTGAGGGATGTTGATATGGGAGAAAGCACGTATGTGCAGGGCAGGGGGTGCAGGGAAAACTGCACCTCCCTCTCAGTTTTGTTGTAAACATGAAACTTCTCTAAAAAAGTAAAGTCTTAAGAAACAATGTGTGTGTGTGTGTGTGTGTGTGTCCAGGAAGTACCACAGGGGACATACCTGTAAAACCTGTATCTAAGGGCTTATATCTAGAACAAATAAAGAACTATTATATTTCAATATGAAAAAACTCCAATAAAAAATTTAGACAAAAAATTCTTTACCAAAGAAAATATGTGGTAAATAAGTATATGATAAGATGCCCGATATCATTAGTTATTAGAGAAATGCACACCAAAGCCACACATAAGATACAACTCCATACCCACTAAAATAGCTCAGACTAAAAAGGCGGAACATACAAAATGTTAACAAGGATATAAAACAACTGGAACTCTTATTCATTGGTAGCAGGAATATAAAATTATCTCTTTAGAAAACAGTTTATTTCTTAAAATGTTAAACATAAACCTATAATATTACGTAGGTGGTCCACAGGCCACCCTGACACCTGATCAGAGGGGACCACGCTAGGGCTGAATTTGCCCTGCAGACCAGTGTATCCGCAGGACCCAGCACAGTGCCTGACACATGATGAGCGCCCAGCAAACATTCATCGAACGAATATTTGTATCAGCAGTTCTAGAAAAGAAGTCTGAGATGGCCTTTCAAATTCAGAAGAGTCTTCAGAGGGAACACATGGAGTGAAAATACGTGCACCAGGCTGGAATCTGAAAGGGTGAGTTGAAAGAAAGAGAGAGCTACTTAACTGATGCTGAAACAGCCCAGCCAGAGGTAGCTTAGAATGAGCAGAGAAAAGTTCAATGGATGCTGCGGAGGAGAGAGGTTTGAAAAGGAAAAGGCTGTCGGGGGTGTCACGTGCTCAGAGACATCACCTGAGGCCCCAGAAGAGCTCATTTGTTCGGGGATTTTCCAGTGGAGTAGTTAGGGCAGAAGTTGGAATGTATTGAGTCAAGAGTTAAATGAGAAATGAGAAGTTAATAAAGTGTAAGTGTAGAGTAAAATTTGGAGGACGTTAACTGCAAAGTGAAGAGGATAAACAAGTTGGAAAAACAAAGGAACTAACCTTGGCCGAGAGTTTCCTATGGGCTGAGAGGTTTGCTAAGACATGTACGTTATTTTACTGTCTCCTCACAGTAGCCTTGTGAACTATTGTTGTCCCCATTTTACAGGTAGGAAAAGTAAAGTTTAGAAACATTAAGAAACTTGCTCAAAGTCACACAACTAGTAAGATAAGCCACTAGCTTGATGAGAAAGTGACACAGGCGACACAGCAGACATTATTTTGGCCACTCACTATCTATGTCCCCACTTCTGGTAACAATTCTCAGATTGTCACAGGGAAATTGCACCTTCTGTACATTCATCCCATACACTCCACATGACCCAGGCTTTAATGCGTATCACTAGCATTCTCCTTGGAGTCATTTTTGGAAAAAGAACCCAAGAATTGGCACGGTTGAGGATGTTATCCAAGCCCTTTAAAATCTAAGGCATGCAGACACAATTCTGGGACTCTCACTGGAACTGTCAGGAAAGCAGGCACTTCTTTTTGGAGGGGAGGATTAGGACTTCAAAGCAGTCCTGAGTTCTGCCATCATCTTGCCCCCAGAGGAGGGGGCCTAGCAGAGAGTGAAACCAGTGCAGCAGAAGTCAGAGCGATGAGGTGGAGAGAAACCAGGTCCTGCTGACATCGTCCGAGCCACTGCATCGGGCTAGCTCCTGTGGCTAGACAGAGCCTAGATCTTCAACAGACTGCATTGATTCCCTGTTCAGTTCAGTCTGTTAGGGCTGCATTTCCTATTCAATCTCAACTTCTACCTGGTATAAGAGGATTTCTCTCTGAATAGGAATGACCCAAACATGTTTGTAGATTGAGAGGGGGCTAATTGAGTAGAAAATTATCTAGAAGACAATAACATGAGAAAAGAGAGTAATACAGTCTTATTTATTTACCTGAAGTAATACATATTGTCTTATATTTTATTCTTGTTATATGTACATCTCTGTTACCATCCAAAGAAAGTATCTCTGAGGCATAAAACTCAATATTCCAAAGAATAATTATGTGTCAGACATCATTACTAAAGACAAAACTTATTCTTGGGCATCTTTTTTGATTCCTAGAACTCCCTCATCCCACTGATTTGTATCACTAGCTCCCACTTAGCCTTCAAGGATTAGCTCAAAGCTGTCAAACTCTGGAAAGGCATCCCCTTAGTTCTTCCTCAACTCAAACCCACCCCAAACTAAATTAGGGGCCTCTCTTCGATGTCCCATAATGTTTCCTGCCTAAGGGACTCAGGCCCTTTTAGTAGCCACCACATAGTCGCTTGATCGCCAGGACACCCCGAGGGCACCTCCTGACGCAGGGGAGCCCCATTAAACCATGAGGGAGGCTCAGCGAATGCAAGCAAATGAGAGTTGTGAAGGAACTAGACAACGGCCGCCCTCTCCGACACACTCTCTTCAACCCCACGCTAAGGGAAGAGTCGGTACTGTCCTGTTCTGAAATCATGAAAGGCATCAGAAGAGACTCACTTTCCTCAGTGTTTAGGGTCTGCTTTTATTTACAGCTTTTTGGGTCTGACTACACTTATCCAGCGTTGAGGCTAAAAGGAACAAAAGTTGCACTTAATTTACATGAAGTTAGAGGCTGAGGAAGAAACGATGTCATCTGACAGCAGGCAGTGTTGTGGCAGGAGAGACAAAGGCACGCACGGGCAATTATTTTATTGCAACTTCTAAGTTCCCATTTGTTTAAGGGGAAAAAACCGGTAACATGTCTGAGTTCTTACTTATTCCCAGTGAGCTGCTGAAAATCACTATTGACTAGAGAAGGAAGGGACCCGTGCCTGAGTGTCTGTGGGTGGCTCTTTGAACAAACTCCCAGACATTCTCGCTGAACTGAAAGGAAGTGAGCTGTGGCGGAACAGTGAGGTGGGATGCAGGCAAGATCTTCTCCTGGCCCTGATTAGTAACTTTTTGCATTGCCCATTAAAAAAAATACATTTTAGCTCCCTCCAACTAGTCAAAAGGAACTACAGGGGCAAACTACCAAATCCATATTCAGTCAAGTTTCTTTCAAATTGATTCTTTCCTCAATCTGCCAATTTTAACACTCACCGCCATTTGCATTAAGTTTGAGAAACTGGGGGAAAATGCTCAAAACATGACAGAACATGACTCAAGATAATATGTGAAATTGTGAATTACCAAAAGGCAGTCACGTTTCTGTTTGCTATGCTAAACTACACTCAGAAATTGTTTGTTGAGACACTAAAAGCTAAACTCTGAGTGCCCAGGTTCTCTAGAGAGATGAACCTGAGGCCAGAATTAAGGGATGGATGATTACTTTGAGAAGAGCAAGTCCAGGAGGAGGGAAGGGTAAAAAAAGGTAGAGTCAGATAAAGATGAAAAAAAAGCAGGCAGGTGAGAGTCATTACTGCGCTGCCTAGTCCTTTCCAGTGAGTCACAGAAAGTTTAGTCATTCAGCAGGCTCATTTGAGGCTGCGGGACATTTTTAGAAGGGCTGCACAGAACTGCACCTCAGAAAGCCTAGAAAAGGAAGAAAGGAAATGGGGTGCATCTGCCCAGCTCATCCCCATCTCCCACTCCTGTCACTTAAAGTTTACCCCACAGGCAGCCTATTTCCCTGCACGGCCAGGTTGGGTCCTCCAGCCCACCAGTGGCCCTCGGAGAAGCAGATTTCACCCCTGCAGGATGGCATTCCACGCAGGTCTGGAAGTGAAAAGAATGACTGTGTGCAGATGAGCTCTGGGTGGGGGAGGGGAAAAGGAGAGGGGGGAATCCATGAAGGCCTAGGCCTTCAACTTGGGGAAGCTGAATAGTCTCACTACTTCTCATTCAGATGTGCCCTCCCACCAAAGCTGCAGGAGGGGCAGTTCAAGTTGGAAAACCTGCTAGAAAATACTAAATAAATAAATACTGTAAAAATGCACCTTAGAAATGTGGCGTTCAGTTTGACTCCGTGAAGGATACAAGTAAGTTTGTAACTTGGTCCTGGACCTTAGAATTTCCAGGGCAGAGAACCTGAGAAGAGGCAGCTGCACAGAGGAGAGGCACCAGAGCATGTAGACGGATTTGTTGCACCTTTTTGGCCAAGGGTGGATGTATTTGTTATCTATTGCTGCCGAACCCCAACACTTGGCAGCTTAAATCAACACACATTTATTATCTTGTAGTTTCTGTGGCTCCGAAATCCATTCATGGGCCCTCTCCCTCTCCAGGCTGCAATTAGCCAGGGGTGGGGGCTCCCACCTGGAGGCTTAACTGAGGAGGATCCTCTTCCAAATTTAAGTACCTGGTTGTAGGCAAGGTCCAGTCCCTTGAAGCCTGTTGGACTGAGGGCCTCAGTCGGTTGGCTGGATGATCTGAGGTTGGCCTGAGGTTAATCTCAGTTCCTTGCAAGACGGAAATCAAGACATATTACAGAAAGGACGTGCCAATACTTCTGTTGCATCGATTGGCTGGAAGCAAGTCACTAGGTCCAGCCCTCACTCAAGGGGAGAGGGTTACATAGGGTATGGAAGTCAGGGAGTGGGGGACCATTGAGTACCATCTTAGCAGTCAGCCTACCACAGTTGGACTGCACCTAGGCAAGACGAGGTCTACACGGCCACTCACAGACTGAA